AGAAGCTCAGTAGACTCCTCGTCATAATCGATCGGTTCATCCAAACCATATTCTTCAAGCAGTTGTTCGATCTCTTCGTAGGGATATTGAATAATCCGAAGAACCAAGCTTTGGAGATTGGGATCGGTAATAGCACAATATTGAATGAACTTTTGCGATAATTCGAAGTCGACCTTCGGTTTATGTGTACCCTTGATTGAGAGGTAAATCTCAATTGTGCTATCATCAGTCTCATCGAATAGGATTTGGTTAGTTTCTTCAGTGACTTTGACATCATTCACTTCCTGGGTCAATTTCAAGGCTTGGACGCCCCAAACCTTGAGGGTTAAGAGTCGAGTAAGAAGCTGAGATTTTGTTTTTTGAGTCTCCGTTGGAAGAAGCCTAATCCCATCATCAGCTTGTAGATATCTAGGAATCATTTATACCCACCTGGCGAAATACCGTGCCCTGTCCCTGAGATCATCAGTCCTTTCTTTGTCCTTGATCTTGAGCCCAACAAAATCGATCTTTTGCTCGACCACATTAGAAAGCAAGTGGTCCGATAGATCCATGGCATCGATGAGAGGCGTTAGCTTTCTGACCGTTTTCACATCGAATGAGATGAGAGGGATTTTCCCGTTAAAACGATCCCACAAGCTTTGCCTATCTGCGAAATACCAAATGTCCTTGTTGTAGTTCATACGGTCCTCACCGCTTGGAGTTGTTACTGGGATTATGTTCTTTCCTTTCAATGACGAAAGACAATCTTTAGAGTCCTTGGGCGACAGGTATTTGTTGAGAAGCAATAACAATTGCTGTAACGTGTGAAGGGGGGTGCTATCCGTTACACCTTTCAGCTCCTTGACCACGTGTCCAAGTTTTGCATTCTCGAGCTGCAGGCAGCCCCGAAACAATGAGCTGTGGGCTGGGTATACTGAGCTAAGCTTGTGAGTAGATTCTAGCTGTTGCGGCCCATTCCACACGCAATCAGAAAGAAACACCCATCTTTTGGATTTTGGGAGGTATACAAGTCGACATTCTGCAAAAGCTTCTCTGTTAAATTTTTAGCAAACTCATAGTGTATATATAACATGCCAAGGATCTCTTACCGGACTCTCTTTGGATCTTTACAAGTCCCAAGCTCAGCATAAATTGCCTCCACGGCTGTTGTAGGAGCCCTGTCAGTCACTGGAAGGGCTGATATAGCCTTGAGCTCAAGGATGTAAAATTCCGTGGAAAGCATGGTAACAACGCCAAAGGCAGAAAACTTGAGCCAGCGAGCGTGACTTGGGTCTGGAATATCGACGAATGTTAGATTTGGGCCAGCAAACTTCAGGGACCTGCGCGGTATGACTGTCTGTTCGAGACGTAACGAGAGTCCATTCGTGCAAGGCACTGTCATCTGCGAAATAGCTTTCTTGAGCTTAGAAGTTCCAAACCGACCAAAATCCAAGTCTCTAGAATAATGGTCCCAATTATCTCGTAACAAAAGAAGCAAGTCTTGTATGGCGTGGGTTTTGAGGAATTCGAATTCCGGTGACAGTTCCTGATACTCGTTGACGAGACGAGGCAAGAGCGACATCCTCAACCGAGAGCATGCCCATTCGACAAATTCGACTTCTTTCTCTAATTTTTGAGCAGCGGCTAGGTAACTTGGGTCGAGAATCGGCGTTGGGCTCTCTGGATGCCCTGCATGCTTGCTTATAACCGATTTCCCATCAGGATAATCAATATACACCTTGCTTGCATACCTGAAACCCGAGCGAAAACGTCCAGCACAAATGACTTGAAGTCCGTTGATGCTCCCATTGTAGACGTGCCGAGGTGTTTGAAAGAGGTACATTAAGTCCTGCACAGAAGTATTCAAGGACCGCTGTCGAAAGGGGCTGTAAGATTCCACAATCATCTGGCAGACCTTAGCCTGATCACACCTTTTGATGCCAGCCCACCGAAAGAAATCCAACCGAAATGGGTTTTGGCAGGCTTTGCGATCCACCAAGCATATATCTAGCCCGGCAGGTACTTCTGCATTGCCTATTTCCCCTTCAAGAAACAAATGACTATGCGAAGGTTTCACCCATCGTCCGTCCCTAACTGGAATGAGTGGAATATCCGTTGACCGATGCTTGTTGCCATAGGCGCAGAATAGTATTGCGATTTTCGAGTGCCAGTCGTCTGACTGGCTCGTCAAAAATGAACGGCCAACGTTCTTGATAACATCCCTCAATTCTTGGCAGAATTGCGAGAAGTCCATTTCCTTGACATGCATCTTCTTAAGTTCTGGCAGGATGTTCGTGGTCTCTGAATCGTAGAGGAAAGATAAATGCTGGAGCTCAGTAGTTTCGTCCTCGACTAATGGTTGGCCATTCAGTCTGAATGCTTTCGGAATGTAGTATAGAGATTCGGGTGTCGTAAGTTTGCCGTTTTTTCGCGACTCCAGCACGTCTGTTTTGGATAGCATATCGAGGATAGTTTCCTTTAGTTTCGACCAAAACTCTGTTGTTCCACCTCTATCCTTGAGAAAGAGAGGCCAAGTGTATCGGAGATTCTGACTGTTGGGAGATTGATCGTGGAGTCGATTGAAGCGAGGGACAGCTGTCTTCACAAAAGCTATGCATAAAGCTAATCTCAAGCAACGATTCCATATGGTAGATATAACGCTCTCCCTATTTGCAACCAAGAGAAAATCTGCCTGTATCAAATACTTTCATGCATGTAAGCCTCTACAGATTCGGATGTTGGCGTAGCACGAACTTACATTGAACCCGTAATCGCCGATGGGAAGGAAAGCATATGTGTCCTGAGCATGCACCAATGGCCGCCATTTGTCAACCGGGAATGCTAGCACGACCTCAGTGGCCTTGACATTCTTCCTTCGCTCATCTTCTGGCAGCTGGTGATATACCCGACGGACAACAACATACTTCTCTTCTGTGCTGTTTTCCTGAAGAGATGTCTTTGTCACCGTCGCTGTTTCTCCTCCATCAATATCTTGGTCCTCAGCAAGACTTCGAATCTCAAATAGGACGTCCAGGTTCGGAGTACGGATAATCAGCTTCCGTATTTTCCGTAAGAAGATGAGCATCTGGGGCTTCAAATTTTGAAGCTCATTTAAAATGTTTTGGAACTCGGATTCACTGAGGAGTTCTAGTAAAATCTGGGTTTGATCTCCTCGGGTTCTGCCATCCAGTGCTTTTATCATATTTGAGGGCGGAAATGTCTCCAGAATGGGCGCAATCATACCGAGCGTTGTTCGTCGATCCAGCCGGAATGAGTATCCCCTGGAGGATATGTGTGCAATGTCGGCAACCTTGAAAACAGACTTGAAGCCGATACCTTTCTCCCCAGTGTAGCCAGTCGTAATATCATTATTTTTTTTCGTACTATCCCCAATTCGGCAGAGTGCTTCAACATTTTCTTTCTGAAAGCCAGTCTCATTGCAAACGATGAGCATTTGCCATGAATTTCCCGAAGCGATAGCGTGGAAGGAAAGTGTTGGGACCACGTCGTTGTCAAAGGCATTGTCATCAGCATTTTGGATCAATTCCAGAATGAAATGAGTGTCTGTTTGATACAGCTGATCAGACATTCTACATCAATCAGCCGTCTTGATCTTGCGGAACTCCCGGAATTCTCACATGTTGAGCGCGCGATGTAAGTTCCCCACAATTTCGTTTTGCTCCACGTCTGAGCCATCGACGCCTTGCCGCCGACGGATCCCGAGGAGATGGCCATTGGCTTCCTGTTTGAGAGAATTTGTTGACTGGCGGCTTGCCATCTTTTGGGAGCGAGCAGCTTTGGAGACGGCAGAGTATACACGATGAGATGAAATTAAGGAGCTCTAGTCGAGCATGGACGAGGAAGAGAGAGCACCGCGGGTAGCTATTGACCAGAATAGAAGAAGGATGGCAGCCTGATTAGCGGCTGCGCGGGGCTGCCGCTCTTATCAACCATCCCCACACTGGATGAGAGCCCACGTCTAACTTCGATAAGTAACCGCTTGACCCTTCATAGTTAGACTATCTTGGCAGTGCGTAGACTTTTGCACCCCACTGTACAGTAGGGGTCAGATTATGGGGCCCGGAAGTGCGCACGGCGGGTCTAACCCATCACTCACAAACAGCAACACAAGCATATATATCTCTTTGTTGAAGTGCAGGCTTGGACCTCAAGTCCCAGTCGGATCAGCCTAAGAAAGAATAGCATATGTCAGCAGCTACGAAACAATTCTGTCGGTGTTGGGAACACGATCTTTTGACGGAGGGCCAACGTAGGTCGGGAAGCATGTTGAAGACCTGTGTCAGCGAGCCAGCCGTGGTTGGGTTGTAGGTACAGTACAGTAGGGTTGGTTGGTTGGTGGGTGTTGTGCGGCCGCGCCGTGCCGTCCCGTATGTGCCGCGGATGCCAGCAACAAGTAATTCCGGCGCCCACCACCTACCTGCAGACATCACAGTTCCTTGCAGGAATAAGGCACGGCCGTATCTCTGTCCAATCGCATTGAGTCTGTCAGTTAGAATCGACCCTCTCAATGCAACTTACCAACCTGTGATAGATGGTTGGTTGGGAAGAATCCCAAAGGCATTCCAGCATAGTATGAAGTAAGGCAAACACAATCACATACGGCCATAGACTGAGGAGTATTGGGCATCCCGTCCGCTCTGCCATACACAAGCCTCAGATCGGTAGATCAGTAGTTGGGTGGGTGACCACCAGCGAATCCCTACTGTTGTATGTTTTTCTTTTTGCTATTGATTCTACTACCACCTAATTGTGAACAGTTGTTAAAGATACTTGCTATAAGTGAAGAGAATTGCAATTAATAATTAAAAATCAAAGAGAAAATGAAATTGTTTTCATTATCAAAATATCAATAAGTGTTGTAGAAAATATAACTTTTGTATCTTTGAAGGGAAGACTTCTTTACGTTAGGTGGGTGGTCCTTGGTTTTGTTTCATTTCTGCCCACCTCATTATTGTGTTTATATAATGACATACGACCATTGATTACATCAATTCATCCAATCCGGAATGGTGTAGTGGTTAGCATTTCTGCCTCTCAATAACAAATAGTTATGCGGTCGCAGGAGACCGGGGTTCAATTCCCCGTTCCGGAAAAAACACATATAGTTTCCTGTTTTACCATCTTGTTCTTTAAGATAACCTTTTGCTTTCTTTTAAAACCCCAGCGCCATCGTGCAATATATATACCCTTTTCTTCCTAAGCAGCGAGTGGAGTTGCGGGAAAATCCAATTTCAGAAATTTCTGCCGACTTTTCTCCGGCCACTGAAGCTGATAATGTTGCCTCGCTCAAGCCCCTGAACAAAACAAATGTATTTCAAACATTGTTTGATTGAGAAAAGTCAATGTATTAAAGGTAAGAAAAGAAAGTGTAGCAAGGTATATTCACGTACAGCTAGGAAGCAGTAGAGCATTGATTGAGTTGATTGCTTGCTTTAATTAAAAGCTATGAAGTGAAGATGTGGGGAGTTATAAGTAGGCTCGGCTATTGACTAGCGCGGATGATCCAGTTATCCATCCTTCTGACTATCCCGTGACCTTAAACCTGCAACAAAAAGAAATGAAAGAAGTAAATATTTTAATTTTAATTAAAAAGAGGTTATATACTGAATAATACATTGCTTTTCTCTTTGCTAATTTGAAGTGTTTATGTAACGTTACGCAGTTGTAAAGCATGTTATTGATATGCTTAGAATATTAAGGTGCAGAACTTAAAGAGTTCGACACGAGTGTTACAATCTAGGGATCACGTGTGTCTTGGCCCTGAGGCTCGGCAGCTTCGCTGCACAGAGAAGCCAAGGACTATGAGGATCCCGGGAGCAGTTGGGGTCGCAGAAATCAAGTGATTCCTAGGAGCATAGTTCCCAGGAGCCAAGGGGCTCCCAGGACCCCATTTGCCCTATGAGTATTATATAAAGTAAACAACCCAACGGCTAATTAATCCCCGAATTATGCAACCAGGGTTACGTGATATACTAGCCTGCTAGACGAGTCGCGAGAGCTTGCACGCTTTGCGAGCCCGTCTTGCACGGCTTGCAGCCAAGACTAAGGTTCTATATAAACACAGTAGTTTCTTAAGTAGTAAAGCTTCGTGCTTAAATTCATATAGCAAGTTTACCCTATAGTTTACCACTGCTTATAACGTTTTTATTCCTATAGAGAACTAGATTGTCTTATGACTTTACTTCATAGCTGATATCAACTCAACGAGCCTGTACGCATAGTACCCGCGAACGGCAAGAACGTTACAACAAGGTTATATACACAAAATAAGAGGTAGCGGCTTGAAACACGTGAGGCACTTATCGTCACAGTTTAATTGCTGAAGTGAAAACTGTTGATACGCAAGGAACTGCTTGTGCCGAGGTTCTTCAGAAGTAGGCCTGAGGCGATACGGACCTGTCTCGGACCTCCTTCGGAGAGGTATACATGTATATATAGACCACCTCCAGCACTTCTTAGAAGAGCCAGACTTTACAACCATACCATACTTTTGACTGACTGTCTCACTGCACCTACGTATTCGATATATCGACGAACGCTTGGTGCTTTCTTACCGGTACTGCACCGACAAAAACTTAGCGGTTAAATAATGTTGCAAGTTCAAGGTCACGAGATAATCAAATGAATAAATAACTGAATTATTCGCGCTAGTTAATAGCTAAACCTACTTATAACTCCTTACATTTTCACTTCATAACTTTTAATACAATAAGCAAATCAACTAAATTAATACTTTATTGCTTTTTAGTTGTACGTAAATACTCTTGTTATAAATAATTTACTAAGAGATTTACTTAAGGTTTATTTATTTATTTATTTTTTTAAAAAAAAAGAAAAGGCGAAAGACGATAAAGAGCCTCGCACACGAAGCTTATAATTTGATTTATTTTTAAGACGAAGAAAGCGAAGAAAATCAAAATCTTAAATCAGCTCTAACTTATGGCTTCTCTCGTTGTAACGATATGAAAAAGCAAAACGAAGCAACTAATATAATCACACATATTATTCTTTTATATAATGATACCAACTTAATTTTGTTTTTCAACAATGATTAAGAGTATAAAAGATATTAAGAAGTGTCCTCAAGTAAAAAAGAACGAAAGCATATAGTAAATCTTGGTTATCCCAAAACCCTCTATTGAAGTCTAGAGATTCCCACTGGCAACTAGGCTGACTATTGTTATCGTTGGACTATTGACAGCGGCCTGTGCCCATGGGTAAGGCTCATTGCCAGGAGTACCAACGAGCCATATGAAAGGGTATAAAGTGGCTTAGCCCGCAGTGGAGGTGCATCGAATATTAAAGCGAGGTCACACTCAACCACATAGGAAGCTAAGGAGACGTGTAGTGATGGGAGCACCGAACCAGTTGTGCTTCAATGTCAAGTCAACACAGAAGTACCTTTAAGGGAAGATTTATTCATCTTTCGTATGTGCCAGAAATCCACCTCAAGTCTCTTAAAGGTTAGCAGACCAAACAGCCTAGTTTGATTCACTTCAAATTGATTAATTAAACATGTGAAGCTCTTCTCCAAACATCCGGATGAAGGCGAAAAGTTACTACTCTCAAATTGATTGTCCAATTTTATCAGGCTACATGACCCCGATGTCCAAAAGCATATTGTAGTAGAAGTTTCGGGCGTGCTGTTCTCTACCAGTTTTTGAATCGGTCCGATGGAGGGTTGTTTGGTACGATGCTGTAGTAGAAGCTAGAAGCCTTATCAGCTCTTCGTCTACGGCTGAATCTTCCGGGTCTTCGGCAGACGGATTGGAGTCCGAGGTGGGCTCTTTGATACTGGGGTCTACGGTTACAAGACGCCCAATAAAATCGATGATAAGCACGACCATGGCAATCGTCCAAGTGGGTCAGTAGTCAACCAGCCTCAGCAAGACTCCAGATATAGCGGGCCCAGATATCATACTGGCTGATGAGAAAGAAAAGGCAGCACCGGTTGCAGTTCCTTGTCTGTCAGGTCCAGCCGCGTCCATCAATATGGCAAAGCCAATAATGCAGGGCGCTGATGCTGCATAGCTTAAAGAATTACACCGAAATATGTGGCCCAAACTTGAATTAACGATCAACTTTGAACTGCGAAGAACTGGCAATACTACCGTTAAGAAAAGTCGCGAAGCTCACTAAGTCCCCACCTCACCATTCCAGTCACCCCCCCATTCCAGTCACTTCGCTTAACACACCGCTTTTTTACTTACCTACCTTTAATAATTAATAATTATTTTATTCTCTTATCGATTTTCTTGATTTTTGGAATATTAATTAAGATAATTATAATACTAAAATACACTTAAGATAATGTTGTTTTGGCTTTTCGTACAATTGAAAATGGTAAGTTCATATAACATACTACAAAAGAGTAGGGTATACTATACTCTACTCTTCAAAACTAATCTCGCAATACAAACACTTATTAATAAGCTGCTAGTCACTTGCAAAGGCTACCTTTGGTGTTAGAAAAGCGTCTTATAAATTGGATTTTAACTTAAAAGACATTGGGGTTTAGTATTACTTATGCGCAACTATGGCTTTTTGAGAACCGACTTTGTGTACTTCAAGGAGACTTAATATCACTCGAAAAGCGATGAGTACAACGGTTTTTTAAGCGGAATCCTATTCTTAGTACCAAAAAGCAGTATTTCATTGATTTTGTACGTATTAATAATGCAACTACTAATGTTATTAAGCCATAGTTTCACAAATTGCGAATCTTAGCTATTTAGGTAATTCTACTTGAAAATTAATGAAACATAAATAAAGCAAAAATTATAAAAGGCTTTGGAGTTAATGGCTTGGTTATTAGCTATGCAAATTAACGTTTTATTTAGCGAAAATAGCTTGGTTTTTAGAATTGAACTGTAACGTTCCTGCTGTTCGCGGGTACTGTGCGTACAGGCTCGTCGGGTTGGTATCGGCGATGAAGTATATTCACAAGACGGTTCGGTTCTCTATAGGAATAGAGGCGTTACAAGCAGTGGTAAA